TGGGGTGTTGGTTGGGCTTTTTTGTTGTACCCCGCAAGTTGTTTCTCCATCTTGCCTTTGGGTCTGAGCCAGTTAGGGCAGAGGGGACTGGCTGTATCTCCAGCCAGATCATCACCTGGGGACAGATGCTCCTCCACCACCTTCTCCTTCTTCAGACCACTTGACACCATCTGGTACATCCCATATTTATTTGTATGTTTATTGTCTCTTACCCTGTAAAAAGTGAAGTCCTTGAGACCAGGGACTTTATTTCTAATGCCAGTGCCTAGAACATGTCTGGCACATGGAAGCAAATCAGTATCGGTTTATTAAATGAACAAATGCAAAAGGTTGCTTCCACTGGTCATCTCTGCCCAGAGAGGATAGGGCCCCCATCTTCTCTCTGCTCCACCTTCCTTCTCCCTTGCCCTTCCTCCTAAGTGAATGCACAATGGAGTCGATGAAAGTATAAGCCACTCATTACTCAAGGGCCCAGATATAAATTCCAAAGCTATGGTCTGTGGAGAATGTGGATGTGTACCTGCATCTGTCAGTCTTTTGGGGGTGGGATGAGGGCCTTGGGGCTGTGCTCCTTGGGTAGACATCTTCTCCTGCTCCTTTCCTTGCCCAGGTGAGAGTCTGGTGGAAAAGGTGCCAGAGAGGCAAAGGACAGATAGCACCTTACCACCAAGGTCTTCCCCACAGCCTCAGGGAGGAGCCTGGAGCTTGGTTTTCTCCAGCAGATGCAGGAAACATGGGCCTTGCTACTAGGGCTGCTGGGAGGGCCCTGCCTCACCACTTAACTGAAGAAACTCCCTGGCCATTTGGGCATGGAGACGCTCTGGCTCCACCAGCCCACGCAGAAGCCTGAACTCATGTAATTAGACATAATGACACATGGCAGGCGCTTCCAGCATCTCATGCTCTAATGACATATCTGCCTTCCAGACCATCTCAGGGGCCAGCAAGGCTCTAATTAGGTCTGGTGCGAGCAGGTAGGAGAGCCAAAGAACCTTGGCCTTGGAGTTTGTCAACCTGTGGGCCAAGTCCAGTTTGGCTACTTTTTGACTATGAGGTTCTGGACGAGCCAATTTAATTTCCCAAGCTTTCATTTTTCTCATCTGTAAAATGGGACTATAAATTTATACCATACAGGGCTGTTGTGAGGAGTGTGAGTCCTCTCCAGGGACTCTGCTGGTGGGACTGGAGCTGGAATTGCTTGCGTCTTGGGGAGGGGCTGGGTGCAAGGGAAACCAAACCTCCAAAGGCCAATTTGACCAAAGCTAAGGGTCATAAGATATGTACTCTTCTAGTGCATTTGTTCTTCTTTTAAGATAGTATCCTATGGATTTTTTTTTTCATTGTATCACATGGGAGATTTTCATCTTAAACTGATTTTTCATAAATCCTTTAAAAAGTCCTTTTCTGTCTTCTCAGCACTTCAGCATTTGGGGGATTCTTTTGCAGATTTTGCTAAATAAGCAACTCCACAAATTGTCCAAATTTGTTGCTTTGCTCAAAATGTATTTCTTTTAATTATATTTTTCGATTTTGATTTCAATTTTTATTAACATTGTACATGCACTCCGTTCTGCAAGACTTAAAATTGTAGCATCCTATCTAATCTCTTTGCCCTCAATTCCCAGCCACCAGAGACTGCTGTTTTCAACAAGACACAGCAATTTCTTTTTCATTTACTTTTGTGCTTCCAAATAACATGCTCATTCTGTTTTTAAAACTTATATAAGTTCATTTTTTTTGTGGTTGAAAAACTCTTCATTGAATTTTTTTTTCTTCATTGAATTAAATGCATAAAATATCAATGTATATACAAAAGGATTTATTTTATTTTTTATTTTTTAAAAATTATTTATTTATTTATTTATTTATTCATGAGACATACAGAGAGAGAGAGAGAGAGAGAGAGAGGCAGAGAAACAGGCAGAGGGAGAAGCAGGCTCCATGCAGGGAGCCTGACGTGGGACTTGATCCTGGGTCTCCAGGATCATGCCCTGGGCTGAAAGCAGCATTAAACCACTGAGCCACCCGGGCTGCCCATACAAAAGGATTTAATGCATAATATATACAATTATCTTTTAAAAGGCAGGACACAAATCCTAAGAATGAGTTCTTGCTATTTCCTTTTATTTCTTTTTTTTAATACAGTTTCTTCATTGGTTTGCTTAAGAATGCCCAAAGTGGGGTCCAAACTCATGACCCGGAGATCAAGAGTTACACGCTCTGCTGAGCCAACCAGGTGCCTCATCCCCTTTTATTTCTTGATTTTCAGTTTTAGATTTAATCTGCTACCCTCATACTTTGGAAAAGAAGAGTTTCCTTCCTGTACAATCCCCCCTCTATGCTTCCCCTGGTAACATCTTCCTTACATGATCATGTCATTAATTTGGGGTTGGATGAATATTCAGAGTTTGTTTTATGACAATGTAAATGTTATTGACAGCCCAGCCACATAGAGTACTATGATTACATTGACTTTCTTGCATGTGTTTCTGTTTCTCCTGGGATTATCCATCTTCATTGTTTTTTCCTTGCTTATTTTCAGGGTGCTACCTGGTTAACCCCAAACCCTATGGCTGGAGATGAGGTCATTAGGCAACTCTCTGCTTCATCTTTTTTTTTTTTTTTTTTTTAGAGATATACAACAGTGGTCTCCTTTAACACTTTTATAATGTTGTGTGGCATGGGATTAGAAAATAATTCTAAGAGACTTCAAGTTACAGAAAATATATAGGAATGGTGTGAAGAACTCCATTTGCCCTACATCCAGACACCCTATTCACATTTGACCAGTTGCTCCCATGACATCATGGATAGAAAGTGACCCAGCCCAGCATCCTATGCCATGCCTCCGTAGAGTTCCTCTGTCCTACCTTAAGTCTCACACTCTTGATGCTTTAAAGAGAACAAGCCAGTCATTTTGCAAAACATTGCTCCATTTGGATTTATCCATGTTTTCCTGGTAATTATGCCAGGATTGTGCATTTGGGGGCAGGGATAGCACAGGAGAAATGCTGTGTTCTCTCACTGCCCCTCTCAGGTGCCAACCAATGTCAACTCGTTGACACTGGTGGTGTTAACCTTGATCACCATTTGACCTGGTTTCTCCATCGTCAAGGTTACTTTTGTGCAAACAAGTTTCTGGGTGGAGATACTTTAGCACTATGTAAAAATTCCATTCCTTATTTCCCTTATGTCTCTAGTTTTAGCATTCCTCGATGCCACCTGCCTGAAATCATAATCATCATCATCATCACCAAAACGTGATTTTCTTCTTCCCTTGTTTTTTGGCATTCTATTGTAAGGAAAAACGTTCTCTTCTACTCATTTATTCATTTGTCCACAATGGTGTGGATTCATGGATTCCTATTTTATTTGATGGGCTATGACCCATCACTCATTAATTTTGGTATGTGAATTATACCAGGTTTGGCCAGAAGAAGCCCCAGCCAGCTCTTGTGTCCTTTTGGCATACGTCCCTTCGTTCTCTGGGCACTCCTTTACTTTCTGACACTAGGCTTATCTAGTACTTTCTTTGGCCCTACATAGGAGCCAGCCATTCCTCCAAAGAGCTTGATATCAGTCAAGGAGGAGGATGCTATTTTAAAAATAAGATCTAGGTGCTAAGTGTGCTTGTTGCTACTGGTGTGTTGCTGCTCCCAGACCTTGAAGAGCAGAGCTGTAGAAACACACACACACACACACACACACACACACACACACACACACTTTCTGGCTGACCACTCCATTTCCAACCCAGCACCACGGAGTTCTTCAGTGTTTTCTTTTCATATTCATGCCTCCTTTGTCAGCAAGAAATCTGCCTCCTTTAATCCACATGGATGATGCAACTGCTCCATCCCCTGCATACATCTGTCCTCTGACCCTCTAGGTTAGGGTCCCACCCAGCCTTAACTCTGGCCTCACAGGGGTCACCACATCCCTGCACCCTCCCCCCCCCCATCTGCCCTGAGACTTCCTGCTGGATGATCTGAGAAAGGAAGGCAGGCAGGGGGAAGAATGGCAAGAAGAGAGAGTTGGGAAGGGGGGAAGAAGGGAAAGAAAGAGAATAGGCCAACAGGCATGGGATGGATTTTATAGCTTCAGAAGATTTCTGGCATTTTCAAGAATGTTTCCATTGTCTCTACCTCACCTCCCTGATGTAGCCACTGGAGGGAAGTGGAATAAAGACAGCAGGGAGATCAGGCTGCACCCCAGTTTGAGCTGCAGATCCCAGAGGTGGAGGGGTCTGAGGCTCCCGACCCTGGCTTCCCTTGCGCCTCCAAAGGCTTTGCCCATTCATCTCCTGCATATTATTAAAGACTTTACACATTTAAAGAATTTTTTTTAAGTCGAGGTAAATATGATTAGCTCCAAGAGTTGGTGATATGGCAAACTGATTCTCTGCTACACTGTCAGGATGAGGACTGGGAGGTGAAGAGGGTCCCTATGCACAGACTCTCAGGTCCCCTCCTTCTCCACCCAGAGTACTTCTACTCATCTGTGTTTGAACTACTGGGCCTTACCAGGTTCTTCTTAGGTTTAGAAAGAAAACTGAGCCTGGATGCAAGTCTCACTGGGCCTCCAGCTTGCTGTGTGACCCTGGGCAGGCCCCTTGCCTTCCCTGGGCCTCAGCTGCCCCTTGGGCAAAGGAGAGGTTGGCTTCTGAGTTCTGTGCATCTCTGCCTTAGGAGGTGGCACACACAGCTGGGGACTGGTGGAGTCCTCTTTGGCCACTAGTTCCCAAGGCAAGGGAGAGAGGAGCCAAGCTTCCCTTCCTCTGCCAGAGGAATAGGTCCTCGGGCTGGGTCTGGGCCTGCAGCCAAGGGGAAACACAGACAATACACTGGAGTCACCCTGACCGCTTGGGACACGTTGTGCAACTTCCGCCCCGGGCCTGCAAATAAGACTTTGGCCCTTGGACTTTGAGCTCTGAGCAGCCCTCTCCCCTTCCCAGGACTGAGGCCCTCCAGTCTAGGAGACAAGCCTGGGGAGTGGACAGGGTGCTTTCTTAGTCCTAAAGGTGGCCAGGTGGCACTGAGTTCTCACCAAGGAGGGTTTTACCAAAAGGGGTCAGAACACATGCTGCGGGAGCAAATGAAGGAGGCCAGCAGGTGGGGAAACTCTGTGTGAAAGTGTGTTTGCCTGTGTCTGTGTGTGAGCAGCAGCACATGTGAGCTAGGTGGGAGGATTTGCCTGTGGCACGGTCATCCCCATGGTCCATGGTCATCAGGGGAGTGATACTTGAAGGTTGTCTGGATGCTGCCTTAAGCCCTGTAGACGCATAGGAGTAAATGCACCAATCTGCCCAGGAAGTGAGTCCAAGTGTTTGGGGGTACCTTGGTGAGCAGATGTACGTGTGTGTTAGCTGTTCCCATGCATGCATATTTTGGGACATGTTACAGATTGCATGCATGTGAGATGATGCACGTGGGCGTGATTCCCTGGGACCACGTGTGGGTTGTGTGGCTAGGAGTGTGTACGATGGATGTGCATGTGGGTGTGAATCATGTATATGTGTATATTGGTGGGTGGTCGTGTCTGCCCACTGTGAGTACAAATGTGTGTGTGTGCTCACACAGGTGTGAGCCCCCGACTGCTGAGCCTGTGGTCTCTGTGGGGGTGTGATGGTTTGTAGACATGTACAGCCTCTGGTCCATGTGAGTGCACGTGAAGTATGGATGTTCATGCAAGTGCTGGTGTAGGACACGTGTCCCTGGGGATTCGGCCCAGCTCATCACGTGCTTCACCCTATCGCTCCCCACAAACCTGCCAAGGACCCTGCATGTTTCCAGTAAGTCTGCATTCTGAGCCCAATTTCTCCACCTGTGCCATGGAGGGTGAGGCTGGTCTGGAGGAGTTATCAGGCTCCTCCTCCCTTTGTGGGAGCCTGTGTGAGCACCCACAAGGAACATGGATAATATGGGGAAATTGAGAGCCCAGAAATCCTAAGATTTGCCTTGGCCCCTGGGTGAGGGGCAAGAGGCTGGGATAGGATACACCCAGAAAGGGCCTGAGGGATCTGCTGGAGCCTTCCACCTGATCAGGCCCTGCTGCGGCCTAGAGGCAGGGGGCTGCCCTGAGTGACTACCCAGGGCTCTGGAAAGGGAAAAAAGAGTATGGGGGGATGGGAACAGCTAGGGGACCTCCGTGAGCAGCTCCCAAAAGGAGTCTCAGGGGCTTTGGGTGGGAGGCAGGACTACACCTCCCTACTCACTCAAAGGAGTCTGTCCTAGCTTCCTTACTCCTTAACTGGTGGGGCCCTGAGTGGCTCCTATCATGAAGGCACCTTCATTCCCCTCAGGACTGGTTTTGTTTTTGTTTTTGTTTTTTTGTTTTTTGTTTTTTTTGTTTTTTAGGGCTGGTTTTAAAATTCAAGGCTTTGGCCTGAGTGTCAGAGATGATCCTGAAGCTGGTGGAAAAGCTTGCTTAATGCCTGCTCTGTCCAGACCCTCTGCAGGGCTGGCGGGATGGGGTGCTTTTTGCTGCCTTCACTACCTTCTCTACCCCCACTCCTCGCAGTCCCTCCCAGCCGTGATGCAGACAAGCCCTGTGTGCGGCATAGTAAAGGGACAGCATTGAAGCATCACGGTACACTCCACCTTTGCTGCAAAGGGCAGTGTCAGCACAAGAAGGTTCTGTTTGCAGAGAGAAGGTTCACTGGAAGGAGCTCAAAGAAGCTATAGCCCCATCCAGCCCCACTGTGATGTGCCCACTGGACTCAGGTTCTGAGCCTAACCACCCAGGCCAAGGACTCTGGGCTTGGAGAAGAGGGAAGCGATTCCACAGGAAAAGAAGTCCTCGATGTCTCCTACAAAAGTCAGGGCCAGTGAGAAGAACAGAGGGCACCCCAGATATTTCAAACAGAGGAAGTTTAATATGGGCAATTGGTTACCCAGGAGAGGAAAGAGCTGAAAAGCCAAACAGCAAATGGTAAGACAGTATAGTTTGGGCATGAGCTACTACCAGGTCAGGGTGGGGCAACACGCGGAGGAGGTGACAATTCTGCTTGGGGGTGGTGGAATCATGGCAGGAGCCACTGCATGGCAGAACCACAGAGGATTGGGTAGTTTTGTAGGAGCTGAAGATGAGAAGACAGTACTGGAACAATGACACCCTCCCCCACGAAGCAGAGGGAGAAGGGGAGAAACATTCTGGTGTCTCCCACCTCCCCAGACCTCTCCCAGTACTTCCCAGTGGCCCAGCCTAGCATGAAGCCAGTTGGCAAAGGAGCCTGGGAAAAGCAGTTTGCAGGAGGTGGGCTGTCACATATGAAAGCAAATGGGCAATGCCCAGCACTTCCCCCTGTCACACTCTGCATGGGGTGAGAACTCAGGAAAAGCAAAGAAATATTTGGCACTGTCCCCGGGACTATGGATATGACTAAGTTTTGATAAGAGTTTAATGGACCGCACACATGCACACCTTTCCCGGTGCCACCTGCTTCCTAAGTGTGGCTTCAAGCAGTCCCCACCCCAGCCCAGCGAACTCAGGACAAGACCCTTGTGCTGGAGTCAAGGAAACTGAGGCTTTCAGAAGGGAAGTAGCTTCTCTCAGGCCTCACAGCTGGAAGATGGCAGAGCCTGGGCTCATATTCACATTGGTGTGACTCCAGGGCCCGTGGGCCTGAGAGAGAAATGGTAAGTCTGGTGTCAGGTCCTACTGCTGGGAGCAGATGCTGATTACCAATCTGGGTTGGAGGCACTGGGTAAAATTCTCTGAAGGAGAGAGGATAGGGTGAGGCCAGCTGGGGAGAGAGACGCTGATGGCAGATTGGGAAACAGAGTGTAGTGGGGAAGAGCAGGACGTGGGGTCTCAACAGGCTGGGTCAAATCTGCTCTGCCGCATACCAGTGTGTGACCGGATCTCTGAGCCTCAGCTTCTCATCTGTAAAATGGGCATAATAGTAGGCGTAGTCCCTGCTTCACAGGGCTGCGTGAGAACTGTGAGTTGGATAAGTGTTTGCTACTATTCAGTGCTATTCTCATTTCTGTTTTGTAGGTTAGGAATTGAAGAGGTAAAGCAGATGAATGAAGATGGTACCACTAGGAAGTAGGATATGACTGAGTCTGTGCTGCCTCTGTGGCACTCCCTCCGACCCTCTCCTTTGTGGTCTGGCCCCCCAGACTCCTTCTTTATCTCTGTGGCCCACACCACCCATCCCCGCTGTGATGTGGAGTTGCCTTCTCCTTGTGTCTCCCCTCTGATGATAAGTCACCTCCTCCTGGCAGCCTCCAAACTTGGAGATGCCACCAGCTCCCTGCTATTGCTGGCCTCTGGGCTGCAGTACCATCTCCCACTGGGTTTCTCAGCTCTTCTATCCTTCTAGCCAGCCCCCTATATTAACTTCTCTCCATTAGAAACCTAGTGTTTTGGTTTTCCTGCTGATACCTCGCCTGGTACAATTGTCACCAGTTATTGTGGGATTCCTTAGAGGAGGAACGCTTCCACGTGCCTCTCATGTGTTAAAGCACAAGGTAGGAACCCTCGCCCCACTTGACAGAAGCAGAAGTAGAAGTAGGGCATCTGGAGAGGAGAAGCCACTGGTCTGCAGTCACACAGCTAATGAGAGACAGGGCTGGGGCTCCCAGTCAGGGGGTAGAAATCCAGAGCCCACGCCCTGCCTACCGCCTGGCCTGCCATTGGCCATCCTGACTGCCAGATGACTGCCTAGGTGCCAGAACCCTGCCCTGATGGCAGCCTCTGTGACATCTCCATCTGGCTGCTCTGCCCTACAACAGCCCTCAGTGACATGACTGTGGATGGCATCTCTGCACCTGCTCTCCAGCTGAAGACTCCAGTGTCTGCCGAGGGGCCAGTAGGGGATTTCGGACCCTTCACGCTCCGTGGCCTCCTCGCTCTTCTTCCTCACTCCAGCGTCTCTTCTTGCCAGCCTCTTCCGCCCCTGCCACTCCTGGCATGCCACTCCATGCCAGAACCCTCGATGACTCATCCACATAGAGCTTTCGCTTCCTCCTTCTTGTTAGAGGCTCTTGACCTGCTGCAGCTGCAGAAAGGAGGTGCCTCCTTGGGGGCTCGAAGGCCCGGAGGAGCAGCCATGGGCCCTGCTGAGGGCTCAGGGCCCAGACCCAAGGAGCTGGGGTGCTGTCCCTGTGGAGCATAAGGTGGCAAGGGGGCTTCTCAGGCTCCCTGCCAGACACTGGCCTGGGCCAAACTCTCTCCAAATGGCCAGTCACCTATACAGGCTGGCATACCGGGAGACCGACCTAGAATTTTTAAGCTGGAATTGTGCCTCTCCTACTTATGAGACATCAGAGGGACCCGTCTTCATTCATTTGTTCATTTTTGCATGGATGCTTCATGACTTTCTCCCTCTGTTCCCTCATTTAACAAATCTGTCCTGGTCTCCTAGGTACCAAGTAGTCCCTAGTGGACCAAGAAACCAAAGTTCATTCTCTGCCCATGAGGATCTCCCAGGTGAGAGGGTGGGAAGTGAGGTTGAGGGACAGATCTGTAAACAGAGAACCTGAGTAGGGTTAAAGAAAACACAAAACAGGGACGCCTGGGTGGCTCAGCGGTTGAGCATCTGCCTTTGGCTCAGGGCGTGATCCCAGGGTTCCGGGATTGAGTCCCACATCAGGCTCCCTGCATGATGCTTCTCCCTCTGCCTCCGTCTCTCTCTGGCTCTGTCTTTCATGAATAAGTAAAATTAAAAAGAAAAAAAGAAAACCCAAAACGGTAGGGAAGCTTTGGGGGTACTTCTGAGATCTCTTCATACAGTTTACCAGACATGTGTACCACAGAAATGCTTCCTCATTACAAGCTGGCTTCCTCTCCCTTTAGAGCATTCTATAGCTCCCAGCTGCTCAGAGGGCAAGGCTAAAAATTAAACTTCACTGAGCCTCCTCAGTGCAGGTGTGTTGTGCAACTTCAAGGGGTTGGGGAGGGCCCATTCATATCTTAGTCTAAGGGGATGGCATCTGGTTGAATGACCCTGCTGTGGAGTCAGACCTGGGTTACACTTAGGGTCATTTTCTTACCATGTGACTTTAAGGAAGTTGGTCATCTCTGAGCCTTGGTTTACTCATCTGTAAAATGAAGCTATTGATAACGTCAGTGTTGTGTGTTTGCAAGAATTCAGTGAGATCATCCATGCAGAGCACCTGGTACCATGTAAACAGTGAAGCACTTGGTAAATGCCAGCTGTCATAACAAATACTACTGTTTACAATGAGGTTCTATGGGTGCCTGAATCTCCCCCCCACCCCCATGTATGTGTCTGGCTGGCTGTCTCAAGGGTGGTCAGGGAAGGCTTCCCAAAAGAGGTGACATTGACCTTGTGTCTTGAAGGAGAAAGTGGGGGAAAAGCATTCCAGGTAAGGGGAAAGGCCAGATGAAGTCAGGGTATGGGGAGCACTTTGGGGCAGGCAAAAGGACCAGGCCAAGAGTGGCCTGGAGGGGTGGGCCTGGGCTCCTCAGGCCTCAACGATGCAGCCTGGCTGGGAGCAACTGTTGGATCTGGGTGGGTGGGGGCTGCCCCAGCTTGGTATCTGAGATACTGGCAGCTCTCACCCTTTTGTCCCCTCCCATTTCTGGGCCTCCACTTCCTTCCCCTGCACAGACCACAGAGGCATTTCAAAGGAAGCTGCTACTTATTTTAGCAGTGATCCCTGGACACCCCCACCCACAGCTACCCCTGCCCCTCTCGGCCCCTGTGAAGGGCATCAGGCCATTTTTCTGAGTCATAGCCTGAGTGAGGGCCTGGTCCTACCCCCTTTCCTGCAGGAAGCCAAGCCCAGTCTCAATGGTTGAAGACATGGGTTCAAGCCCAGCTCTGGCATTAACTTACTGGACAACATCCTAGTCCCTTCATCTTCCAAGTCTTGGGTCCCCACTGGGCAGGCACTGACCTCTGGGCAGAAAGTGGGTTGGGGATGGATGTGCTGCCACACTCCTCTGTTGTCAGACTGGAAGAACTAGAGACAGGGTTGCAGGCAAGATCGAGTTTGGGGGCCCAGAAGCTTATACTTTGGAGGTCTGGCCTTAAGAAAAACAGAATCACAAATACAGATACTTATGAAAGTAAAATTCTATTTAGAAAGGATCTGTGCATGTGAATCTTTTTTTTTTCAGCGTCCTGAAAATCTGGTTTTTGGAGAGGGTCCCCCAAATCCTCAGGAGACAGTGGGGAAACTGAAGCAAAGACCGAGGATGTCACTGGCTCGACACGATCACACAGTTAGGGACCGGAAGGCTATGATTTGAACCCAGATTTGTCAAAACCTGATGCCCACATTTTGCTCCCTATCCTCGATAGCCCCTCAAAGTCCCACTGGTGTGAGGGAGGAAGGAAGAGAGACTGCTGGCAAGAACACAGGGCTATGGCCAAACAGACTCACCAAAGTCCCAGCTCTGCCCCTTTCCAGCTGTGTGACACCTTTGGAGCCTCAGTGTCCTCATCTGTAAAATGGCGTGATGGGGAGTAGTCATGTGCTCTCTGCAGCAGCTGGCACACAGCAGTTCTATTTTTGCCTTCACCTGGATCTTATAAGTCACCCTGAACCATACTGATGATGCTAATGGCTAACCCTTGTCTAGAGCTTACCTTGTGTCATGCATGGCTCTAAGTACAGCTACTGAAACATTAAACATTAATGTTTAATTACGAATTACTAAAGGAAGTTCCCAAGTTGCTCAGAGTGGAGGGTCATCTCATCCCAGGCAGAGGGAACAGCATGTGCAAAGTCAAGAGGCAGAAGGATACCTGTGAGGAAGGGAAAGGAACCAGGAGATTGTGAGGGACTGGAGGACTGTGTGGGCCAGGAGTAGTACAGAGGAGGCTGAAGAATTAGCTCCCTGGCTTCTTCTTGGGTTCCAATCCCCTGAGCAGCAGCTTCAGCCTTGCGTGAAAAGTGTCTGTGAGGGGAAGGCCTGCTGGTGTGCAGGGTGAGTGCAGGACGCAGAACCTCAGTGAGAGGCAGTCCCCGACATTGGCCTTTGGATTGGGAGGCCATGGCAAAGCCCTGGCATGATCCTTTGCTGCCTCCCCTCCTGCTTTTCTAGTTTTGACAATTCAGAAGCCTTCACCAGTGAAGTGAAACAGGGGAAGATGTGAGCCTTACTTAGGGTCACCCCACCGACCAGCTTCTCAACCTCCCCGGCTGACCGACTCCCTGTCCACCTTTTTGTCCATCCATGAGTCTGAACACTCAATGCTGACCTGGAACAGTACTCTTCATGCATTGCCTATACCCCCTCAGTCTACCTCTGAATTCCCAGTGACTGTCCCGGCTGTAGGGGGGACATCCTCTATCCCATCCCCAGCCCCCACATCTCCACTTCCCTGCCTAGAACTTTCTCAGGTAACACAGAAGCCCACTTTCCACAGTGCACCCAGAAATGCCACGGCTGGAATGTCCACAGAGCAGCCCTCACCCAATGATGGATTGTGGACAGTGACCAAAGGTAGGACCATTCTGGGCACATTGCACACTGCTGCTTGGTGGGTCCCCAGGGGGGCTAAGTCCCAGGTGCCCAGCAAGGAACCTGCTCATGTGTACCCCTTATTGGATTTTCTCCTTTCCCTGGCAGACTTTCCCACTCCTTCATCCCTATCTCCTTAGATTATCGCCTCCAGAGAAGCCACCTGCTCCCATTGCCCTCCCCATGTCTCCTCCCATCAGCTGCTTATGATTTGTCCAGATGGTGAATATTCATGGTACCTACTCTGGTGGCCCCTTACAAGATGAGGAGGGCACAGCCTTGCCCTCAAGAGCCCATTGACTTGTCTAGAAGGACGCAGGCTCCACAGGGTGGACTGGGGCAAGAGGAGGTAAGTGCTGGTTTTAGCCACTTTTTCACCCCATTTTGGTTCCCCACTATGGGCTCTCTCTTGTGTGTAACTTTCCAAGGAAGCTTCTAGCAGCCTGTGTTGTGTCTGGCAGGAAGGAAGGAAGAACAATACTTAACACTTGTGCTCACTTCACTTGAGCCTCTCTACATGTATTAAGCCCATTCATTTCCCCAGCAGCCCTAGAAAGGATACTCTTAACTTGAACTCCATCTTACAGATGGGGAAAGTGAGGTATGACGAGTCTCACCTAAAGTGGTGTAGGTAATAGCAAGCAGAGCTGAGATTTCAGCCCAGGCAATCTGACCTTTAGTTTAGCTTCTGTGCTTTGCTGTTTGCATGAGGGAAGGTGGGAGGGGATTTGGTTTGATGCAGAAGAAAGGATTCAAATGCACATGAGGGCAGAGAAGGCAGACCAGCACCAAGAAAAAAAATGCTTGGAAACATACTTCCATACTTGTGTGCTCTAGCGCACACAAATCCACGAGTGCCATGTACACACAAAGACAAGTCTACACAAAAATGCATGTTTTTTTTTTAATTAGGCCAAAGATGATGGCCAGTTTTTTTTTTTTAAGATTTTTGAATTTGTTTATTCATAGAGATGCAGAGAGCGAGAGAGAGGCAGAGACACAGGCCGAGGGAGAAGCAGGCTCCATGCAGAGAGCCTGACGTAGGACTTGATCCAGGGTCCCCAGGATCATGCCCTGGGCTGTAGGGGGCGCTAAACCGCTGCGCCACCGGGGCTGCCCAAAAATGCATGTTTAATTAAATGCATATGTATCCATGTAAGTGTGCAAATACATGCATACTCTACACACTCAGAGATTTGCATGCATCAGGACATCCAAAGGCCATTACATATATACACGTTTGCACATGTGAACAAGCATGCATGTGTATTCACAGACAGATGCACACACATGCACACTACATGTTTATTTGCATCCATGCATATGCCCTTGCACACATGGGCACACACAAATGCAAATCCGTGGTCAGGTCGAATTCTTTGCTTAAAGAAAACTTGTGACTGTATTAAAAATGTAGGACACATTGGCCAAATAATTAAAGTGAGGAGTGAGGCAGTGGGACTTCTTGCCGCTCTCTCGGGGCCGCCTGCGCTGGGCTGTGCTCAGCGTGGCTTCGTCCTATATATTTGAGGAAGAGGCACTTTATTACAGTAATTTATCACCTCCATAAATGTGGCTCCTCTGTAACGCGGAATAATTTGGGAAGAAATATGTTTTAAAAATTAAAAATGCAGTCGGCATGCGCCCCGGCAAGTCTGCAGGGAGACATCGCCGCACCTCCAGTAACTGCCCATGTAGCTCTAATACCTACAACTTCCATTATTTAAAGTGTGATTATATTTTTCCTGCTTGGAGCTTTGTCAGCTATAAATAAAAGATAAGGGTGAATAGTTGCGGGGCCTAGTAAGCACTTCCATTATTGGTACTTAAGGGGGCTTGGGGATGGAGGCAATGGGCCGGGGGTGGGGAAGGGAGACCATCTGGGGGTTACTGACTGGGTCTGGAAGCCAAGCTGTGGGCATGGGTGGGCCCAGTCTGTTCCCTGGTCGAGTTTTTCATTGGATTCTGCATGACACGACCCCATGAACCTGGATTCTATTGTCCACCATGGACCACAGGAAAGCCACCCACAGAGGTTGCTGTCTGCTGTGGCTCCCTACTGCCAAACCCCTCCGATCTTCCCCAGGGACTCCACAATCATGGGACACCCCGGGGAGTAGAGTCCTCTAAAAGAAAGAGATTCATCCATTTGAAGATGTTTGCTTTTTCACAACCGAGAGCTGTTGCTTTGAAGCAAGTCCAGACTGTGGCTACGTGAGAAAGGATTCACAAGGGAATGTGTGTGTGTGTGTTGCAGGAGGGAGGGTGCCCTTATTAGCCAAAGCAGGTCTTTGGCTTCTGAGCCAGAGAGCTAGTCTAATTAAATAAAGAGTAACTGGGAAGGAAAGGATACTGGTCTAACAGCAATCAGATCAGAAAACAAATGTGTTTGCTTCATCACAAAGAGAAAAGGAACAAAGCAAAGCTGAATTAGAAAGAAAATTAGAAATCATCTCTTTGCCCCATCGCCCCTAGTCTTGCATGTTTCTCTAAAGTTTTTTTCACTTCCTTGAGCCTCAGTTTGTTCATCTGTAAATCAGGGATGACAGCACCCATTTCCAGGGTTTTCATGGCAATTAAATAAAACAACATCTGTACAGCATTGGGACTGGCTGTTGTCCACCCCAGGTACTTGATAACGTTGATGAAATCAGATCAGACAGGCATCCAGCAATCACACTACTTGGTATTTACCCTAATTGGAAACGTAGGTCCACACAAAAATTTATAGCAGCTTTATTTATAATTGCCCAAACTTGGAAGCAACCAAGATGTCCTTTGGTGGGAGAATGGGTGCATAAACTGTGGTATAACCAGACAGTGGAGTATGATTCAGTGATAAAAAGAAATGAGCTATAGGGATGGAAAGTTATTGTTTACGGAGTTTCAGCTCGGAAAGTCGAACAGTTCTGGAGGTGGGTGGTGGTGATGGTTGCCCACCAATGTAAATGTACTTATGACCACTGAACTGTACACTTAACCATGCTTAAAATGGAAACTTTTTATGTTATTTATATTTTACCACAAAAAAAAAAGGAAAAAAAGAAATGAGCTATCAGGCTATGAAAAAACATGGGAAGAATCTTAAATGCATATTGCTACATGAAAGAAGCCAGGCTAAAAAGGCTACATACTGTATGATTCCAGCTGTATAAGGTTCTGGAAAAGGCAAAATGGCAGAGACAGTAAAAAGATCAGTGGTCACCCAGGGTTTAGGGTGGAGAAGAGAGGGAGAGATGAACAGACTCAGCTCAGAAGATTTTAGGGCAGTGAAGCCATACTGCCTGGTTCTGCGATGGTGGCTGCATGTCATCACACATTTGCCCAAACCCATAGAACGCAAATCACAAAGAATGAGTCCTAATAGGAACTAGTTAGTTTAGTTGATAATAATATTGCATCAATACTGCCTCATCAAGTGTAACAAATGAACCACAGTGACAAGATGTTAATAATAAGGAAATGAATGGGAATTATATGAGAACTCTGTACTTTCTGCTCCTTTTTAAGCCCGCAAGTGCTCTGAAAATCAAAGTCTAAAAATTTCAGTTTCAAATAAAAACTTATGATTAAAATTAAGGCTCTAAAAATTGATTTAAAAAATTGGACAGAAGTCAGCGCTGGCCTTTCCTCAGCACTTGACACCACAGAGAGCAGGCTGGAAGCCATCTTAGCAATCAATCTGCCCAGTGATTTCCAAACCCTTTGCTTCTTTTTCCAAGCAAAAATTTATGGGGCCTCCCAATACACTTCAAAAGCTCACACTATGACCAGAACAAACCGGATGGGACCAGCGAACAAACCGGTTTGGATGGACTCAGCCTACATCCTGCTCCCTGGCAGTTCCTGTCCACAACTCCCCAGGTTGGTCTGCGTTAGCCAGGCTGGATCAGCAGAATTTGTCTGAGCTACATAAACTGAAGCAGCCGATTCAGACCTTTTGAAGCTGGTCCTGGCTGGTTGCATTTGTCCCAAATCAGCTCAGACCACTTGCAATTGGCTGAAATTAGCACCAAGCCTAGAATCAAGGGGTGTGCCCCCAAATGAAGCTCTAAAAGGAAGAGAAGCTGAGATTCCACTTGAGGGTGATCAAACAGAGAGTCTGGGCACAGCTCAAGTTGGATCAGACCAGTTGGGAGTTATGAGCACCCTGGAGCCCCTCCCTGGGTGATTGGCTCTGGGGAACAGAGGCCATTCGGGTTGGACTGGGGAAAGGGTCAGGCAGGGGAGGAAGAGGAGACTCTTCTGAGAAGTTGGGGGTAGAGGGAGTGTGGTGGGGCCCAAAGGAGTACTTTTGTAAAGAACCCTGGAGCCGGTCTGCGAGCTGTTAGGCACGGATCTGCAGGGAGGGAGGAGAAAAGGACATAATGAAGGGTTCCAGCCTCTGAGAGGAGAAGGGTCTCGGCCTATGGGTGTCAGGAGGGAGTCATGGAAGACCAAGGCAGATACCATAGGTCCACAGGGCTGGGGAGACTAGGTAGGCAGTTAAGTCTCTCAACACCTGTTCTTCCAATGACATTTAGGGCAAGGTCACCTACTGAGAGTGAGGCGGATAGCAAGGGGGTGGCAAGCTTGAAAAGAGAGAAGATAGGGCATGGTCACCCCAGAGAAGCGAAACACAGGGGGCTCTGTGGGGCACCTTAAAGGGCCCATCAGAGGTTCATGGTCACAGATTTAGAGTGCAAACTGGCAGCTCAGTTGTGTGATTTTTGTCTTGCAATATTCACCAGTGTGCAAGAGTGCAGAACTCCAGTCGCCCGTGGAATATGACGATGTGATGGTTGAGCTGAATAAGACAAGGAGTGAAGCCAGGAGGGAACCACAGGATGGAGCCATTTGATGGGAAGGGAACCCATCAAATGAACGTCAGGCCCAACGAGAATCTGAGAATCCGAGAATCATGATAGGGGTGGCACTCAAGCAAGGAGGCAGGTGTCAGTGTGGGGTGTTTACAGAGTGGGACACTGAGGCCAAGCCAGAGAGGAGGAGGTGCAAGTGGAAGAAGATGCCCTGGTTTATCTAGTGGCTCTAGCACTTGAGAAATGTGCAGCAGGGGGCCAGTGGTAACTCAGAGGATTGCAGGGTTGTTCAGGTGAGTTCAACTGCCATGAAAGCCCTGAAGGAAGAAAATGAGAGGCACAGGTCAGCCCACTATCAACTTAGGGCCCCAAGTGAATGCCGGGAGGCTGCTAGGCTGCCGCGCAGCACCTAACTAGCTGGTTCATTCCCAAAGCTGGAGGGCAGACTCCCTAAAACCAGACCCAAGATCTGATTGAAAGAGTAGAGAAGGCAGACAGGAGGCTAAATTCCCAGCCCCAGGGAGCCTTCCATGTTGAAGTCAGAGAGCTGATAGAGAAAGGCCAGGGTCCTGGGACCTGTAATGGAATATTTGCATGGGTATACTTGATAAACCTGAGCCTCTAGACTGGTAGAAGCGGCGCCTCCTCCTTGCTAGAGCTTCCCTTGGGTGGGCAACCATGCAAAGGCCTCCTCTGAGCTGGATGCCTCTCAAGATGATGTGGACTTCTTCACCATGCTTCTCCTACTTGCCATCCAGTCCAATAGCTGAAATCAGGTCTCAGCGTGGTCGGAGAGGGCTAGTATCATTTCTTCAGCGGGAGGAAATGGATTCTCTATCAAGAGATGTGCAGGGCCTGGCTGTGTACCAACAGGAACCAGGAGGACACCCCCCGGGAGTGGGTCTTGAAGGTCCTCTATCAGCCAGCGCAGGGAAGGTATAAAGCTGAATGGGGAAATTACTGATCTAGGGGCACTCCCCTATGACGCAGAGCATGAGCCCATCTCCTAGGGCTGTTGGAATGGCTTCTAAAGGCTTAGATATGAAGTCAGTCTATGGTAGATGTGGTGGAGTTGACAAAACTGCCCTGGAAGAACACTAAGGGAGGGACCAAAAGGCTCAGAGAGGTGGATTTGTTGGAATGGATTTATGATATTAGACTGGAGAACTCACCAACCTGCTATGCCTGGTGTACATAGGCAATAAATGGAGTGCTGGCCTAAGTACACCTCACAGTGGGCCTCCTGGACCCGCAGACCCCCCCTGGTCATTTCTCCAGTGGGTAATTGGGATGGATCAACTCCATAGCTGGCAGAACCCTCACTTTGGTTCCTCATCCTGTGGCGTAAAAGGCCTCCTCAGAGGGAAAGTGGAGTGGAGGCCCCTAAAATGGCCCACCAGCCTAGCGCAGGTAGTAGATCAGAGCACAGCACACGGGAGACTAGCAGAGACCAGGGCCACTCTCAAAGACAACGAATGCAGGAACGCTGATTCCTATCAGATCCCCACATGGTTCAGCAGTGGAGCCCCCCGTAAAACCTGACGGATCCCAGCAGAGGATGGTGCATTAGCACAATCCCAACCAAGTCTCACTGCTGTGCCTGATCACCATAGCCTCCGGCGCTTAGTATGCGCCTACTGATCTGCAGAATGTTCTCTTCCGTCCCCACCCCACACCAGGGGCAGAAGCACTTCACACTCACCTGGGGTGGAGGGCAGTGTGCATTCACTGTCTGCCCCCTGCGCTCCCTGTCACGGAGGTAATGTCAACTCTCCTGCTCTGTCACAATATAATCCGGAGGGATCTTGATCAGCTGAAGCATGCTGGCTTTGCACCCTGCTAACCTAACTAAGCAGAAACTACGTTTCCCAGAATTCCTTTTCCTGCGCAGCGCTGGGGTAGTGTGGGTCACGAGCCAAGCCGCTTTGGGGGAGATTTAGTAAGATGGACTTGAAGCAGCAGATGTGTCTGGAAGGTGGGTGCGCGGCAGGAGGCGCTGTTGCA